AAAAGTCGATTCAGTCGTAACAACGCTAGTGAGGAAATTCGAGTAGTTTTGACCCAGAAAGCGAAGTTTGAATATCAAACACTTAAGTTCAAGATTATGCCAAAATTTCATGTTTTCCGGCCCGTTTTTGCTCATATCTCGGAGGCAAAATGAGCAAGATCGCTCATGTGTACACCATTCTAGATAGAAATAAATGGCCTTTTTAGAAAGTGAACCATGAAAATTCGCGAAAAATCAACCAAACGTTTAACTGCCGTAACGTTTGTAGCGGGAACAGAAAAAATTTGCTCTTTCCAGTGGCGCTTTTTGATCCCGGCTAATAGTTGCATCTAGTTGGAAAAAAAACATCCTGATGTGATAAAAATTGCGAAAAATTAATCAAAGTAGCTTTGCTAGTAGGAAGAAAGTTTGCTCTTTCGAGTGGCGCTCCCATAACTTTTCTGTCTGGAATGGTTTTGCGTTAGTAGGTAACACCTAATTGTAAAGAATGTGTAATTTTTTTGTCGATAAAAACTTTCAAACAAGTACATGGAACGTTCATTCGATCGCGTTGTAAAATCAGTGAAGCAAACCGGCGAATATTCAATTAATCTCCATTAATATGGCGCTTCCAATGATTTTTTTTTGGTACCATCGACGCCACTGGCAGTTGGTGCCTGGTATTCGCACTGGTAGCGGATGTGGTTGGAAGGTGGCAGGTGGAAAGGCATTCTGTTACGCACATCTGGATCATCGGGTTGCGGCAAAAATGCTGCCGTTTTGTTATTTGCATTTCAAGTCGATTCAACTGATAAGTGCCTGTGCGGATCTGATTAAACCACACCTTGAACCTTGAGGAACCTGCATACATCGCAAGTACCCATATTGAAGCCAATAAATGCCATTAAAAAAATTGTGTTAACTTAAAAAGCCTGTGCAATGAACAAGTCAATGTTGTTGGCTCAAGTAACTGTTAATTTGGGTTTGAAAAGTTCGAATTGCCGCTATCATTCTTATCCGAAAAGCGCTTTCATTTAACTAAGGCAAATGAAACGGGCACACGTAGGTAACGCCTATGGGTAAAAATATGGGTATTTCCCTATAGGTATCATTGCGCAGTGTATCAGCATAAAAGGCCACAATTATATTAATTACAGGTTTAATTAACTTCGCCGTTTCGTCTTACATGATAGAAATGGCGATACAATATGCCGGTCCGTCCGTTTAGTAGTTCAACATAAATTACGTTTAATTGGACTATGTGTTGATACGCAAAGCGTCTACTTCCCCTATTGTCGCATGAACTGAAGGCTACCGAAGGTGAGATAAATTGGCATTTTTCACAAAATATCGTTTCTTTGACCCATTAGTTCCCAATATAGAACACTGTTCCTAATTAGCGGTTAATATGATCTAATTAAGCTGCCACTTTAAGGTAGTTGGCCACTAATTGTAAATCATTTAGAAGAACCTCTACAGCCAGATAAAGAGCTGCTGCTTAAATTGCAGGCTTTTAAAATATATGGCAATTTATGTGTCGTCGCTTATGCTATTTCTATCACATATTACTCCCGCTATCAAAGTGCGGAAAACTCGTTAAATTGCCTAGAATAAATACGCATGGAATACCAAAACCCACAGTGATTATTCGGTATTCACTTAACGGACGCAGTAAAATAGCTGTTCTTTTAAACTTATTCAATTACAGTTCAGGTTTGAATATTCCGAGTTGGTAAAACTGACCATCTTGGAATCGCAGATTTTTCGAACTTTTATAGAAGACAGTGAAAGTTCAATTCACGATTTTGTTTTTTCTAAATGTGCAAGTTTTTTGTCCAATATATATGTTTTACAGTTTTTCCAATTATGCTTACATTATTAAGAATTACGCAGACTTTGACTCACATTCAATAAGACTGTTATTGCGTCCTCAACCCAGTTGGTAAAAAATAAATTATATTTCGGGGTGAAAAGTCCTCACAATTGAATGTAATGCGTAGTAAATGAGTGTTCGATTACTTTTATTAATTATTACTTGAACAACGAGTTTTATTATAAAAATTGAATGTGAGAGGCAATGGGGAAATATTTCAAAACCAATTGCGATTGTTTGATAAGCGATAAACTATTGAGAAATTAGAAATAGAAAGATTAGAGAATAGCAATTTTTTGGCCTGTTTGTTTTCACTTGCGCATTTTTAATCGACGTAATGAAACACATTCGATCTGCACAAATGGCACCAACAAACTTGCTTGAAAATAAATTTTTGCTTGGAAATAAACAGTGAGGCTGTTTTGAAGAAAATTTAAATGCAAAAGTGGTCTCTAGTTTTGAAAAATTTCTGTGTTTCAGTTCGGCAACTTGTTTTTGAAATTACGTGAGCCTGGAAAAGCGCAGAGTTTCATGCAAACCGACTTGGTGAGTCTTAAAATTAGCGTTTTCACTCTAAATTTAAAAATTATCTCGCTCTTAACCTGGAGTCGCTAGCAGCTTGAATCTTTTAGAGTCGATAGAAGATACTTTAATCTAGATCTAGGTCAGAGAAAGAGAATCTTAATATGTTTTATTCAAATCTCTTTCAACTCCACCTACGCTACCACCCAAGTGTAGGTACTTTGTGCTTGAAAAATTCCTAACTTCTTGTTTATAGCCTGCGGGAATTTAGAGCTATTGCGGTTTATAGAAAACACACGATTCTAGAAAACTCGAAAATTGCATTTAAATCGGGTTAAATCCTGATTTTTTGCTAGCTGGTAAAAGTTGGTCTAAAATTGTGCGTTTTCACCACACTGTTCTTGGAAATATTCACACGCCTATTCTAGAGCCCGGAGCAACTTGAAAACTTGACCGGCCATAGAAGGCAATTGAGGGTGGAACATCCCAAAATTTCCCTTCCATTTAGGAAAACCGTCAATTTTGCCGAGGTTGCAAATATTAGTAGAAAAATTAACGTTTTCACCCAAATGCACCCAAATTTCACACCAAATTCGTCCTTCCTAATCTGGAGCCGGTTGGGAAATTATTGCCGGTTATAGAAAACACCTTAATCTTACGGAGCGGAAAATTTGTATCAAAATTTCATTAAACATTGAGTTTCTCCGCAAAAAATTGACAGTTTTTTGCCAAAAATGTCGATTTTTCAGCACATTAAGTTTGAGCTAAAAAGAGCACATGACTCCTAACTACTTGGTCACAATGGAGCTGGAGAAAAAATACACACCCAGATCGCACACTGTAAAAAAAACGAAGTGCAAATGAATAGAAAAAAAACTTTTGTTCCGTTTGGTTTTCTGATGGATTTTGCGTTTCTCCGTTCGGTGCTTCCGGTTGAATGGAGAACGGCGAAACAGTCAACTAAATTTGCACTTCTTTCTTTCTTCATTTGAAAATTTGTATCAAAATTTCATTAAACATTGAGTTTCTCCGCAAAAAATTGGCAATTTTTTGCCAAAAATGTCGATTTCTTCAGCACATTAAGTTTGAGCTAAAAAGAGCACATGACTCCTAACTACTTAGTCACAATGGAGCGGGAGAAAAAATACACACCCAGATCGCACACTGTAAAAAAACGAAGTGCAAATTAATAAAAAAAAACTTTTTTCCGTTTGGATTTCTGATGGATTTTGCGTTTCTCTGTTCGGTGCTGCCGGTTGAATGGAGAACGGCGAAACAGTCAACTAAATTTGCACTTATTTCTTTCTTCATTTGAAAATTTGTATCAAAATTTCAATAAACACTGAGTTTCTCCGCAAAAAATTCACAATTTTTTGCCAAAAATGTCGTTTTCTTCAACATTTTAAGTTTGAGCTAAAAAGAGTACATGACTCCTAACTACTTGGTCACAATGGAGCTGGAGAAAAAACACACACCCAGATCGCATACTGTAAAAAAACGAAGTGCAAATTAATAAAAAAAAACTTTTTTTCCGTTTGGTTTTCTGATGGATTTTGCGTTTCTCTGTTCGGTGCTGCCGGTTGAATGGAGAGCGGCGAAACAGTCAACTAAAGCCTAGAACGGAAAGTGGGGGAGTTCAGTTCTCCTGCAGACCGAAAAGAAGCGAGAACTGCGAATATTCATATCATACAACGTCCGTTGGCGCAAATAGTCGCCGTCTGGTTCGTTGTGTTCAGCTGTTAGCGTGCGTTTCAATGCAGTCGCGATTTTCATCGAGAACGACGTTCGGTCTAGTAGGCCTGTGTTTGTTCGCTGACAAGTTTGTGTTGATATTTTTATGAAAAAAACTGGTTTTTTTGTTTTCTTTGAAAAAATGACTTTGGTGGTTCTGGTGGAAAATTCGGTTTTTTCTGGTTATTAACTATGGATGTGAGTTTGTTTTAGACTGGGGGAAAAAAACGAGAATCAAAACGCACCAGCGTGCGGAATCGAATCAGCTGTGAATCTCGCGCATGACTTTTCTCCCTCTCCAAAATCGCGTGGTGGGGGTAGCTCCAAACAGCTGTGAATAAGATACACACTGAAAACATTTAGTCAGAGTTGTCAGATTCGTCAACGAAATCGGTTCGGTTGTAATTGCTGCACTAAGTATAGTCAAGTGTTGTCAAAACTCCGCACTTGAGGACTTAGAAGGGAAATTTTCCGAACTCAGACAACAGTTTGCAGTCAGTGCGCGTGTGGGTGCGTTCGATTAATTTTGAATTTTTTTTTGGAATATTATGGTACCCCAGCAAATGGAGGGTTCCCGATCCGAAAGCCCCAACGCCAATGGGGGACTACCCCTCTTTGGTAGTCAACTTGTTGATAAAAATTCCTCAACACCTTATTCCGATGCCACTCAGGTAGGTGTTTGTTTTTTAGGAAATTTCCCATTTCCGCTCTATTTCGGTGCGAAAAAGTGTGAAATCGATAAAGTGCAGTGTGGTCGGTCGGCCAAAGCTTGATTTGGATTATATGCTTTGGATTATTTTTTAATTCGCCACAAGGTAAAGTTTTAGTCATTTTTTCCTTTTCATTTCAACCCCTGTGTAGCTAGAAACGAACCCTTGGTGCCTCAGTAAACTGCCCCCAACTCTTCCGCTAGTAGGATTCAAACCGTCCTTGCTCAACTACTCATCCACTTAGCCAGAACTCCGAAAAAATACTAAATCATCGCTGGCAACTAATGTTGTCGGAGGCCTGCAACACATACACACCTCATTAATGCTAATGGCAATAAAGTAACCAGGAAATGGTTGTTTTGAATTGCTAAACCAGTTTCAAGGCTGAAAGATTGTGTTTAATTCAATTTTGGTTCGATTGATGTGGTCATTTCTGCCCTCACGTGGTCACTCACAGGCTCAACCTCTTCCCAATGGAAAAAACTCAAATTTCAACGCGTTTTGCAAAACATTCAGATTGTCCAATGCGAAACAAAATACCCGGATTTTGGGCTTTGTTTGAGGCAAGTCTACTCAGCTGCAAAGTTTTCCGGGGAAAATGGGAAATGTTTTCAACTCACACGCCATTCCACTGATCTGTTCTCATTTTTGCGTTTGATGTGCCTGCGAAAATAAACTCCACTTTTAATGTTCAACCAGCCACGTGGTGGCAGGCTGATGCGTCGAATCTTTGGTAATTTTGCCAAATTTTCCTGAATTAGAACCAGTGCGTAATTTTTTCTTGAAGAAAACCACCTGGCAAATTCCGGTAAATGTGGCGAGATTTTCGTTTTTGCTCCATTTGTAACTGGAAAACCTTGCGATCCGAGAACATTCAAAAACCATTCTGAACCCTGTGAATTTACCCAAAATGACCCAGATTTTCTCAACCCCCTGCTTGGGTGTCTAAGTGCGCCTTCTATTGTTCAATGCCAGACAAATAATCACCAACTGAGCGAGTTTTCGTTCTCAAGCCGCAACAAGTTCGGCACATTGAATAGGGAATTTTCCACAGTTATTGTATACTCAGCTGGTACCTGGCCGTATAATTGGTTCCCAGCTGGCACCCGAGTTCCGTTGGTACCTGAACCTTTTCGGGGCCCAAACCGAAAAAACCACCGAATCATCGTCGGAAGGCTGGCGTGAGCTTTGCCTCACCAAAACAGGTGTCCCTACTGAAAATCTAAATTTAGTCAGTAAAAATAGTTTTTTGGACCAAGTTTTCACGGGCGTAAGTAGTTTGTGTGGGTTTTGTACCGCGTGTCATACACTAAACAGCGGTTACGTAAACGCTTGATTCGCTTGGGCTTTTCTCACGTTATCACCTTTAGTTGCACATTTTTTCCCTGCTGATTGCTGCAGAATTTTTCGCATGACCAGTCCGCAATGACTAATCAGCACTGGCCAGTATGAGACAGGCAAAATTGGCCAGAAATTCGAATCGTCATTGACAATTTTTTCTTCCTGCTAACTTTCATCGCTCTTGATGGTAACGGTTTCGGAATGGAATCACGTTATTTTTGGGGTAAATGCGAAAAATCGTTACCTTTCATATAACCTTGATGATTGGGTGGCAATCTGAATAATCATTCTCGCGATAATACCCGATTGTTTATGACCAAAGTCTGGCTGGAAAGTTGTGAAAACGCCTTATCGGTGCATGTAATCAGGAACTGAGAAAATTTGCAAAATAAGGCTCGAAAACCATCCATGTAAGGGGAATGACCTCGGGCAGACTGATGCGTAGATTTTCCTGCTAAAGATTAGCTGGCGTGTTTTGGCGATTTTGTCTTAGTCAGTGATTTGGGGGAAAAACCTCTCAAGATTGTCCAAAGGTTACAAGCAGTTTCAGCCGAAAAATCGCCCATTTTTCCCACATGCCGGATTATTTTCGTCAATAATAAGACGCATTATTTCGCTGAATCCGACTGTTGTTCCAAACCAGTAACTGTCGTTTCTATTTTGATAAATACAGCACGTAAAAATAGTTGGAAGTAGATACCATGCAAATCGCAGAAAAAAACATATTTATCGTGCTGATAGGTATTAATAAACCATTCCACTCTGCATGCAAATCTTCCATAACAAAATCCCCCCCAGCAGCTAATTCGATTTGAACAGCTGGGTAATTTTATCTCGGGAATATAAAATAGTAAAGGCATAGTCAAGGCCAGCATGAAACAGTTCCGCAATATAAAATTTACATTTACCCAACGTTTTTTGCATTCGCAACAGCAACAAAATGAGGAGAAATAGACTGACTGTCTATGCGTGTTGAGTCAGGAACCTTGAACATGCCAACAACCTGGACTGTGTTTTATTAAGTGGTTTCGCAACAGCTGATTCTATGTCAACCAAGTCGCCTAGGTTTTAATTGAAATCCTGCATAGAAAATCCCGAATTTACATCAGGTTTTCCTGCTTATTCTCTGGGAAAAGTACGGTTTCCCAACAAAATTTCAATATTCGAATGGCATTGACCATTCGACCGTACTTTGTACTTGTACTTGTACAAGCTGCCTCTTTAAAAACAGACATTATAATTTTTAATTAATAAAGTCTTACAATTTCCATGATAATTGCCGGGTTTTATCGCGGTTAGTAGATAAAGGCTATTGTGTGAAAGTCTAGAATTATTGCGCTGCACGTGTACATGGAAAATTATGCAAGTGCTGAATCGGCCATGCGAATACAGCGAGATCAAGAAAAAATCGCCGGCTTCCATAATTCGTCAACAGCAAAAAACAAATCTACATGTTTGGGGATCTCCCGTATTGGGTGTTTTGAATATTCAAAGATTCACAGCGACGTAAACACTTCGATAGGTGAAAGCATATCAATTATTTTGTCTAGCCGTCGGGGATTTTTCATTTTCCCTTTTCGATGGCAGCGCCAATAAATAACAATGGGAAAGGTTCTCGACCGATGCATCATTTTCCTCGCCGTTAGTTTCGCCGGAAAAGTGTCACTGCGGTGCGACAATCAGCTGGGGAAACTTTGCTGAAACCATCAGCTTCAGGTTATTGGCATATTCAATCTTCTCCAGACTGGTATTATGTCGATTTGAGCGTATAAATTTCCCATAATAACGCTGCAATCGCTTCAAACTTGCCTGATTTCGACTGAACTGTTCATCTTTAAAAAACCAGTTTTCAAACTAATAACGTTAATGTGTAATCATCTTGCAGATTTTACTATTGACCAATTAATTGCAAAATTATCACCCATTTAATCGGAGAATCTGCTGGATGCGTAGGTTTAAAACGACGTGATAGTTGAAACACGAGGCATGCGAAATCTGAGCCAAAAAACGATTTTTTTTAGCTCCAATGAACTATGGCCAACATTAGAAGGACACTGAAACGCTACTGGCAATTTTCTTTAACTTTACAGTGTCCATACATCAGTGCATGCTCGCTTACAAAGTATCAAGCAAATATACGATATTACACACGTGGCTTCGCTATTTACAATTTCATGATCATTTAGTTTGGAATGTTTCAAAATGCTTCAAGTTGACGATCGCTGTGAAACTTCACTTATTCCATTCAATTAAACAGGAAATCATTAAAAATGCATTATGTGCCAGTTTTCAAGCTTCAATCGGGACTTAAATCAAAAATACTCCCCAGTTAAAGCGTTTAAAATTGATCTACTCAATGATTTAAGCCAATTTTGTCCGTTTGTGCGTTCCTTGGCCCCATTTTCTCCTCATCTTGCTCAACCCTATTAAGCTAATTGCATTATGTCTGAATGGGCCGCCCCATAAAACAAACGCTAATAAACCCCGATTGATTTTATTCGAAAAATTTCCCGTACCTCCTCAGGGCTTAACTTCTTTTATTTCGCCAAGCGATAAAGTTCTAAAAGGAGCAGTGTTGCCCTCCGGAGACTTTATGGTGTCATTTAGAGGAGCAAAGTCACCCCGAACTAAGTCCCTTATGTTAATACGCTTCCAGATGCAAAAAGTCGTAAATAAAAAGGGACCAAACTTTAAATCTTCGTATTTCTCGTTTCCATTCAACTTGGTTGAAGATGAATAGCGGGACGAACATGGGCGGTCCATAAGAAGTAGAATTTTTTATTTGCCACAGCTGTACACTTATTTCCCTTTAAGTTGTGCGGTCAGTGCTGTGAATTTTTTATCCGTTTAACCGTAATTTGCTTTGTTTCGTTCATTTTCTGTACGGAATCTTTATTAATAATTGCCAGGGGTAAGAAGGTCAATTCCTAGTAAAAGGAATAATTCTCTGAAATGTGCGCTGCCGATCAACAGCATCGTTCCTTTAACTTTTCAATACTTTATGATTTTCCGACCTTTAACCATTTGAAAATGATGTCGACGATGTTCGTTTGTGCACGGAAATCCTGAGTCATTGCTGGCCAACGATATACAAACTGGTGAATTTTTCTAGCTTTAAGGCATGGTGAAAAGTGTTTTTCTTAACGTTTTGCCAGCTTCAATGGCTTGCACTTGCGGAGGCGTTTCGCTCGGTTGAATATGCTACCAACCATTCAAAAACTTCTTCATTCGTTCTAGAGCGTAAGACACTGTTGTAAACTTCCGAAATCACCTCTGAAGATGCACGCCACTGTTGCTTGCGAAATGTTAAAAAGAAAATGTATAAATCAGTCCAGTGTAAGCTTTTGAGGAAAACACCTGAGGATGCCCGATGCTCGTGCTTGGAAAGCGTCACTTTTAATTTTTTATATCGGACATTTTCCCAATACAACCATTTTTATTCATACGAGAATAATCGATGTTGCACCAATACTGTGCCGATTGAAACTTATCTAATAAGCCTGGTTGAAAGATAATTAAATAGTTCTTTTCGACCGATAATGGCGAGCTTTCTGTGAAGAAAATTATGTGTAACTAACTCGAAAAACCTAACAACCGTGCATTCTCAGATCGATATGCTC